GGGGGGGGGAGCGGCCCCCGGAGCCTTTTCTCCCCGCGGTAGCGCAGCAGGTGCGAGTGGTTGGGAGCGGGAGGTGCCGGGTAACGCGCTCCGCCCTAGCTGGGGGCTGAGCCCCGGCGGTTCTGCCTCAGGCCTCAGCGAGCCCCAGCGCGGCGGGGTCTGTGCCCTCGAGGCCTGGCTTACAGCTGAGACTTGTGCTGCCAAGCTGGCGGGCTGAAACACCTTGACATAACGTTAAAAAAACCCCAAAACAACAGGTAAGAAGTCATGTTTATAAAGAGCTTTCCCTTGTGAAGCTTATAACTTCATTAAATAAGTGAGGGGGAAACCCTCTTCCAGTAGATATGAGGCACTGATTTTATTTATTTTTTTATATCTAGGACCCTAATACTCCGAAAGCGTACACCTGCCCCCCTGCTTGTGTTTTACCTAGTTTTAACCTTCAAGCAACATATTTTCACGGTATGTTTTTCTTCTTTCTGAATGGTACAAATATTTTGAACCGTCTTCAGGTAATAATTTGGAAAACTCATTTTACCTGCCCTCCTGGGATTTCAGACACTTTGTTTTAAAGTGTGACTCGCTGCATAATGATGACATAAACCGGGGCTGATGCTTTGAATTTAAATATTTCCCAAGTATCGTGTTATGGCTTACTGTCAGAAATAGGGCTGTCAGCACCATTATTTTTTTTTAATTTAACGGGCACACAGCTAGTTTAGATCTCATCAGTGACTCCACGTGTTTTTAATATTTCCTTTAATCCAGGAACACAAAAAACCCATTCTCCTTCAGCCATTTGTTGCTTTGTCTCTCTGGCAGCCCTTTTGAAAAGTTCTCTTAATATAAAATCCTTGAAATACCCCTATTACCTGTGGTAATAGCCCACCTGTACTTGCTCTCCTGCAGGCTGAGTTGAAGTTATCCTTTCTCAGAGTTTGGCTGCGTTCTAGTTTGTCCCTTCCTAGTTGCCACAGCAGTCAGATGCATCCTTTAAAGAGGATTTCTAAAATAATTGCTCTTTGCCTCTGTTAGCACAATGTGCAAAGCTCTGTTACTAACACTGTGACCTTATTGTCCGAGCACGCCAGAAGATTTATAGATTATTTTTTTTTTCCAATCTGCGCTCCTGGGTTTTTCTGTCTTAAGCTGTGGAAGGTTTCTCCCTGGATTTCATGTCATTTGGCTTGTTCAGCCCCCAAACCTCAAAGTTGCTTCCTTCAGCTCCTGCTTAGAGAGCTTTTTTCCTTATATAATTTTTAAGACTGACTTGGTGCTAGTATTTTCTCCTTGCCTTCCACTCGACCTCTCTGATGTGGGGTAAGACCTTTCCTTCTGGCTCTTAACTTGTGCTCAGCCCTTCCCTGCCCCCTGCGGTTGCTGGGAGCTGTTAATGGCCTGCTGTGTTTGTCCCCCTCCCAGCGTCCTTGCTCTCTTTACACAAGTTAATTTTTTCAAGGCCAGGCAGATAGCAGTACAACAAGGAGTAGATAGCCCTAATCATGTATGATTTGCATAAGCAAGCAGAAACATTCCATGTTCTCCCCGTGAGTTCTGGATCACATGGCCAGTTCTCATCCCTCCCAAAGAAAAGACACTTTTTAATTGCCATTCCCCTAATTGCTCTGAAGTTCAGAGTACTACAAAACAAGAAGGGTGTCTGTGGGCGAGGTCAGGACTATTTACCAGGTATTTCACCTTATCTGTGCTCAAAAATGATGAGGTGACAATGAAACTGTGTAGAGAGAGATGATCAAGTGGTCAGTGGAGGTAAGTTTTATGTCTGCAGGCCCATCAGACAGAAGTGGCTGCAGGAATAGGAAAAAGCAAATAGAAGAAAACAAAAAGCCTCACAGGTTCAGAGAAATCTGCAGGTTTTAACTAGTTTTTAACCAGTTTTTAACCTGTCCTGTCTTTGTCACACTGTTTCCCCATTCCTCCTTTCATATTCTCTTCAGCTCAGTCCCTTTGCTTGTGCTCTGCTTCCCCATATAGTCACTATTGACTTTTTTTTTCCCCTGATTGTCTCCTCCTTTCACTCCACATAAAACCACTATGCTTTCTCGCTGTTCCTTTGTTTTACGCCCCATTTCTCTATCCTGTGCTCTTCTGAAGCACACTGCTTGCAAAGCTCCGTAGGCTTAGTATTCTTTGAGCAGTGCCTGCCACACAGAGGAGCCCCATTCTTGGGTTGGGTTTTCAAAGACAAACATAAAAGTGACTAAAAGGAGGATGCTGCAAAACACAGTTTCCAGGAGTTTAGTTAAAAAGGAAGTTTTAGAAAGGGAGTTTAGTTAAAAGACGTTTTGGAAGGCATTTTCTTGAGGTCTTTATGATGGTTGTGTTAGAACAGGATGGTCTTTTATGTCATTTCATAGTATGAAAGCAGAGGTTCAACTTGAAATACTACAGTCAGACGGTGCCAAACACTTAGAAGTTGTTCAGAAGTGCAACTGGCCAGTAGAAATTCCTCCTAGTGGAAAGCAGTGACTTAGCTGCTGCAACTGAAAAAAGTTTTAAGAATGAGCCTATAACTTCATCAGTCCGAGAAAGGAAATTAAAAGCGTTTCGCCTCAGAAATAAAAAGAACGAACCCTCTACAAATGCAAAGTGTGGAATAACTGGTTTGCTGGGGAGGCCTGGCAATTTGTAGCAGACCACAAGCACTGTTTTACAGGAGGAATTAAGGCTTGGAAGTTTACTAATGAGTAGAATCAAATAATTACAAGCCCTCAGGTGGAATACTTTGTCCAGATTTGGGCAGTAGGTGTTCAGATGGATGCAAATGATCCACATGTGCTGGGAAAAGATTGTACCAGTGAAGAGCAGGTGACTGATGAAGCAAAGTCAAAATAATTTTCTGTTGGGTGAAGAAAAGTGAAGATTTGGGGAGTAAAGAGTGATTTGTCCTCCAATATGTAGCAGGTTGTTAGAAAAATGATCAAACCTCCTTTATGTGGATTAGTAAATGGTAATAGACTTTCTAGGCAGGGGAAGTAGAAGTTCTGTGAGAAATAGTAGGAATTCTGTAAGGACTATTAAATATTGCTACAGGCTACCAAGGAAAAATCACCAGATACTCATTGTTAGAACTTCTAATCGCAGGTTAATGACAAATATCTTTCAGTTGCATCTTGTATAATTTCTGCAGGTCTTGTCCAGCATTATCCTTCTGCTGTGTTTTATTTAGTTAAGGTGTACTTTGAGGAATTTCAGGGTGCTGTGAGGATATACAGGCTGATCTGGTTGCAAAGAAAGCAATGTCTGTGATGAACATCATAACTCCCAGAAGCCAAATGCCTATGCAAATCTTAAAAAACCGAACAAATTTACCAAAATGTATCTACTTTTGTTTCACAGAGAACGTAGTGATTAAGAAATGCATGGGAACGTGCAGCATTTTCATACAAAATAATAAATTTCTGTGGACAACCCCCATGTGATTTACACAAACCGTAGCTTTATTGCTGTATTATCTTCCTACTTGCTTCTGGTTTTCCGTTCATTTTTTTCCAGTACTCTGTGTTCTCTGAGTCAGGGACCTGGAAGGCTTATTTACAGGCACAGTCTCACAGTGGCATTCACAGCGCTTCATAAATAGATACATACATTATCGGTTTCGTTTATAAAGTTTTTAGGATAAACAGCGTTTTTCTTACTTTTGTATAGCACCCAGCTCGCTGGAATCCAGACAGAAGTATTGTATTTTTCTATTCCTGGAAATCGGTCATTTCGACTGCGTTTTCAGGAATGGTTTTGTGCGAGTCTCTTGCTGGGTCCCAACTTCTGATACCCTGAGTGCTTAAAAACTGCAGACAGAGATAGTGGCCTGGCCCAAAACAAGCTTTTGATGTCTCTAGCCAGCTTCCAAACATTCATTTATGAATACATTTTGCCTGGTGTCTATATATATTCATCTTGTAGTACGGTATGATAGTCAATTACAGAAAAATACAAAGCTATCTATTTCTACATAACTTTTAGTGTAAATTGAGTCATCTCTGCTTTATGAGACTTCGCTGTTGTCACAGTTCATAAATGTTATATACCATTTTCTTCCCAGAGTGCTTTCCTGTACCAGGTCTTGAAATATTACCACCTGATGTGTAATGCATTTTTCATTGGATGCGAGCGCGCTAAATTTAGGTGTTGAATCACAGTGCTAACACGTTTGAGCAGTCTTAAACTCAGTAGGCCTGTTCAAAGGTGTGGGGGTTAAGAGGCTCAGGGTCTTACCCTGAGAGACCCTGAACTGAAGTGAGCTCAGTGTTTGTTGTCCACAGAGTCCACTATGTCCAGATCAGTGTCTGCTAAAATGATGGCTGCAGTTAGACCTCACTGTAAACTGGCTGTATGTGTGTGTAGAGTTTACTTAAGCTGTTAAGTAAAAGTAAAAATTAAAAGCTTAAGTACTTAATGCTCTTGTTTTGTTTTTTTTTTTTTTTTAAAAAAAAAGCCACTGATATTGGCAGTTTCCTTTTTAGGCTCTAGCACTACATTTGTTTATATGCTGCTTCTGGGAAGTGAAGAATAAAACTAAATAAGCTTATTAGGTTTGCTCACAGCTTGTTTAATCTTACAACTCCGTACAATACTCTTGTTGAAACTTAGTAGACCGGCTTCAAGACAGAATATACTTTTGAGAAAAGAGATGAGTGTGTCAGAGACCTTTCAATCCTTTACGTAGTGATTTCAGTCACTTGATTTTCAGCCTGTGTATCCATTTGTAGAACTGGCCCAAGACTTCCCCTGGTACAGTGTAAGATATCTGTACCATCCTGGTTGGATGTAAGCCAGAGGTGACTGCCGTGCTTTTGTCATCACTGATTATTTTCCAGCATGAGAAACCAAAGGACAGTACACGAAAATACTTTCTGCGGGCCTGGGGAGCTGGATTTCCACATCAGCATCCAGTGATACTGATATTTGTGGTCCGTAAGCCCACGCAGTTCTCTTACAGTCAGAGTATCTCATTAAAACAGCTTCAAAATCCTTCCCTTTCGGTGTTGCAGCAGTCTAAGATCAGTCTCCGCCTCCAGCATGGCCCCTCTGGGGCAGCCCAGCGCTGCTGCCACATTGCATCTGGTCGCTCGTTGGCAGGTAGGAGCTGGCTCCAGGCTCCCGGTGAGCAGAAAGGCAGTGGCGGGGTGTTTGGGGGGTGCCTCTGCTCCAGCCTTGGGTGCCAGCTGGGCCACCGCGTCCCTCTGCCAGCTGGCACAAGCGAGAGCAACCCCATGACTCCCACGTGTGCCGCTGACGCGGGGAACCGTAACCTGCCCTTAGCAGATTTTGGCACGGGAGAAATTCTGGCCTGTGGAGTGTTTGAACTAAGTCATCAAAAAGCCCGAGGAGGCAGATAGAGTCTTAGCGATGCAGGAAAACTTCCCCAGAGGGTTAGTTTGGGAAGCGTTCAGACTGTTTTCAGTCAAAACACCAACTCCAAACATGCGCTGGAGAAATAT